TATATATATATAAAGGAAGTAAAGGGAGGGAGGGTATCAAGGGGAAGATGGAAGGGCAGAGAGGGAGGGAGGGAGGGAGGGAGGAAGGAACGAACGAACGAACGAAGGAAGGAAGGAAGGAAGGAAAACAAATCAACTCAAAGGGCAGACTTGATGGACTACTAGGTCTTTTTCTGCGGTCAGTTCTGTATGTTTCTAGGAGGTCTTTAACTTCAGCTTTCTACCTGATGCGTGTTGATAGAGTGCAAGTTGACCACAATCCAGTCAACATCCGGCAAAGGAGAACCGGACCCATTGCATGTGATCACAGCATTTTCACCTTCGCAGACGGTCAAGTTCACGTGGCTGACGCTGATTTCAGGCAAATCTGGAGGAAGCCAAAGAACATCAACCTGGTTACGTCAAGGGACACTTAACCAAAGCAGATCAACATCAATTACAAGCTTCATTTTTTTCCCCCTAAAAATTGTTTTAAAGCTAATCTGACTCAGAACGTTATAAATTGTAAGCCCTGAAGACTTACAGTATTCTATACTTCCCATATTTCTACAGCATCAACATGTTTTGGGGAGAAAATTTATTTCTGGACTACCTTGTACTGGAAATCCTTGCTTATGTAAGAGATGCTGGACATATTGCAATACATAATGTTCACATGTACAATTAACTACAGCTGGATTGCCTTCATTCTTAACCGTTGGACAGGAGTGGCAGTGAATGCTATTGGATTATTTTTATTTTTTTCCCCTGACTCCTCTATAAAGAAAAATGTACATCTGGAGTTCATCCAGACACATTCAATCCAAAAATTGAGATAAAACCATTTTTTAAATATAAGGTTTAATAATAATCAGAAGCTGATGGTCAGAAGAATACAGGATGTTCCATATAAAAGAATAATAGCCATTTTGGCTATGATAAACATTGTTTAAAAAACCATAGACGCAAACCTTTGCGTGGCAGTTGGCCAATTGAAGCATTCCTTATTTGTTTTTAAGATACACAAGACACTTCATTGGGAAATATATACACTGCTCAAAAAAATAAAGGGAACACAAAAATAAGACATCCTAGATCTAAATGAAATATTCTTATTAAATAATTTGTTCATTACATAGTTGAATGTGCTGACAACAAAATCACACAAAAATTATCAATGGAAATCAAATTTAGCAACCCATGGAGGTCTGGATTTGGAGTTACACTCAAAATTAAAGTAGAAAAAAAAACTACAGGCTGATCCAACTTTGATGTAATGTCCTTAAAACAAGTCAAGATGAGGCCCAGTAGTGTGTGTGGCCTCCACGTGCCTGTATGACCTCCCTACAACACCTGGGCATGCTCCTGATGAGGTGGTGGATAGTCTCCTGAGCGATCTCCTCCCACATCTGGACTAAAGCATCCCCCAACTCCTGGACAGTCTGTGGTGCCACGTGGCATTGGTGGATGGAGTGAGACATGATGTCCCAGATGTGCTCAATTGGATTCAGGTCTGGGGAACAGGCGGGCCAGTCCATAGCATCAATGCCTTCATCTTGCAGGAACTGCTGACACACTTCAGCTACATGAGGTCTAGCATTGTCGTGCATTAGGAGGAACCCAGGGCCAACTGCACCAGCATATGGTCTCACAAGGGGTCTGAGGATCTCATCTCAGTACCTAATGGCAGTCAGGCTACCTCTGGCAAGCACATGGAGGGCTGTGCAGCCCCCTAAAGAAATGCCACCCCACATCATTACTGACCCACTGCCAAACCGGTCATGCTGGAGGATGTTGCAGGCAGCAGAACATTCTCCACGGCGTCTCCAGACCCTGTCATGTCTGTCACATGTGCTCATTGTGAACCTGCTTTCATCTGTGAAGAGCACAGGGTGCCAGTGGCGAATTTACCAATCTTGGTGTTCTCTGGCAAATGCCAAACGTCCTGCATGGTGTTGGGCTGTAAGTACAACCCCCACCTGTGGATGTCGGGCCCTCATACCACCCTCATGGAGTCTGTTTCTGACCGTTTGAGCAGCCACATGCAAATTTGTGGCCCGCTGGAGGTCATTTTGCAGGGCTTTGGCAGGGCTCCTCCTGTCCCTCCTTGCACAAAGGTGGAGGTAGCGGTCCTGATGCTGGGTTGTTGCCCTCCTACGGCCTCCTCCACATCTCCTGATGTACTGGCCTGTCTCCTGGTAGCGCCTCCATGCTCTGGACACTACGCTGACAGACACAGCAAACCTTCTTGCCACAGCTCACATTGATGTGCCATCCTGGATGAGCTGCATTACCTGAGCCACTTGTGTGGGTTGTAGACTCCGTCTCATGCTACCACTAGAGTGAAAGCACTGCCAGCATTCAAAAGTGACCAAACCATCAGCCTGAAAGCATAGGAACTGAGAAGTGGTCCGTGGTCACCACCTGCAAAACCACTCCTTTATTGGGGATGTCTTGCTAACTGCCTATGCTTTCCACCTGTTGTCTATTCCATTTGCACAACAGCATGTGAAATTGATTGTCAATCGGTGTTGCTACCTAAGTGGACAGTTCGATTTCACAGAAGTGTGATTTACTTGGAGTTACATTGTGTTGTTTAAGTCTTCCCTTTATTTTTTTGAGCAGTGTGTATGTGTGTATGTGTGTATGTGTGTATGTATGTATGTATGTATGTATGTATGTATGTATAGATATAGATATAGATATAGATATAGATATATAGATATATAGATATAGATATATAGATATAGATATAGAGATATAGATATAGATATAGATATAGATATAGATATAGATAGATATAGATATAGATATAGATATAGATATATAGATATATAGATATATAGATATATAGATATATAGATATAGATATAGATATAGATATATATGAATCATTATTTACTAGAGCAAACTAACTAGGCCAGTCTTCTGGGAACTATTACAAGGTATGCAAGTTTTTCAAATTACCAATAATTCTTCATCAGGCAAAATAATTAAGAGGCCAGGAAAAAAAAAGAGAGAGAAGGAGAAGCAACAGCAAAACATGTGGCTGATCTTAAAGTCACATCCATCCTAGATTGAATTCTTGATACAGTGAATGTCACATTGAGTTTTCTTGGGGACTGTGTGATGGTGGGTTAATTTCCTAAAAGCTTTCTGGAAAAGACAAGTGGATTTCTGCAAATTCCCTATCTGGGAAAAAATGCATTCTACCTGTTAACACCATTGCAACTCCTTGTAAGGTGCATAGATTCCATAGTTTGCAGCTAGCCCGCAACTTATAAGTGCTCATTTAGTGACCATTCAAAGCTACAATGGCACAGAAAAAGTGATTTATGACCACTTTTCACACTTACAACCATTGTAGCATCCCTGCACATGATCAAAATTCAGATGGTTGGCAACTGGCATGTATTTGTGACGGTTGCAGTGTCCCAGGGTCACGTGATCAACTTTTGAGACCTTCTGACAAGCAAAGTCAATGGGGAAGCCAGATTCACTTAACAACCATGTTATAACTACAGTGCTTTATTTAACAATTGTGTTGTTTAGCAACAGAAGTCTTGAGCTCAATTATGATCATAAGTTGAAGACTACCTGTAGTCCACTCATTCCTAATAGACGGGCAGACACATATATACATACAGAAACTTCAATATATTTTAGAAAGAGGGCAGCCCATTCAGGAGTCCTGTTACACTTTCTCTCCTGCATTTTTTACACATGCACACAATCTCAATCAAGTTTCTCAATCAAGTGGCATGCTCACTTCCCATTAAGTTGATTTAGAATACTCTTTTTACTCCTTTTACAGGTTTCCTTCCTAAATAATTTTCCAGATCAACTGATACCTTCCAGGTGGGTGATGTCATTTTGACTACCTAAACAGCATCCATCACAGCTTGAGTATGAGAAGTAGAGAGAATAATTTAAGAACTGTGGAGTCCTCAGCATTCTCTGAGCTTGGTTATTTGCTTGCAGATGTTTTATTACCTAACTAGGTAACATCATTAGTGATAGTCTAGCATCCATGATGTTACTTAGCTAGGTAATAAAACACATCCAAGAAATCACCAAGTTCAGAGAACACCAGAAACTCCAGAGTTCATGCCTGAGTTATAGAGGTTATCCTCTATTGGAATAGTTTAGTAAGACAGCCTCCACTCAATCATAGAGACGCAAGCTTGGTTGGAGAAAGTTAAGAATCCCTTTCACACTGGATTACTCACACAAGCAAGAAGAACTCCAGTTAGAATGGAAGTATCTAAGCAAGGAGAACTTGCCTTCCAATTGTCTTGGAGGGAACTGCAGGGGCAGGCAGAGATGGAAATGTATTACCTTGCTTAGCAAATTAATGTTCATAAATCCTCTCCAGGTTACAGCAAGTAATGTTTTCCCTGTTCACCTTTGCTGCTCAAAAATATTCTAATCTTTGAAGATTACTTCTGTAGTGTGTTGAGGAATTTCCAGTTGTCTTACAATTCCCTGGAGTTTTCCACTGTTTTAGCTGTCTTCCAGCAAGCCGTTAAAAGTGTGGTTGGCAAGGAGTTTGTTTGTTTGTTTTATTTATTTGTCAATTGCTTACAAGATAATAGGTATAAGTAAAAACATAGTTATGAATACATGGATACATATAAGAAAAATAGAAAATAAAATAGGACAGGGACGGTAGGCACATTGGTGTGCTTATGCACGCCCCCTACCTCTTAGGAAATGGGTGAGGTCAATAGTAGACAGTCTAAAGTTAAAGTTTTGGGGTTTGGGGGAAGAAACCACAGAGTCAGGTAGAGTATTCCAAACAATGACCACTCTGTTGCTGAAGTCGCATTTTCTGCAGTCAGGTTTGGTGCGATTAACATTGAGTTTGTATGTATTGTCTGCTCTTGTGTTGTTATGGTTGAAGCTGAAGTATTCATTGACAGGTAGGACATTGCAATGTATGATGTTATATACTATACTTAGATCGGACCGAAGGCGGCATAGTTCTAGGTTTTCTAGGTCTAGAATTTCGAGTCTGGTGGCATAAGTATTCTGCAACGAGTAGAGGAGTGGAGAACTCTTCTTGTGAAATATTTCTGGACTTTCTCAACTGTGTTAATATCAGATACGTAATGTGGGTTCCAGACTGATGAGCTGTATTCGAGTATTGGTCTAGCAAATGTTTTGTATGCTCTAGTTAGTAGTGTAATATTACCAGAGAAAAAGCTACCTAAGTTTAGGTTAACAACTCTTAACACCTTTTTGGCTATGTAGTTACAGTGGGCTCCAGCACTTAGGTCATTTGAGATGAGTGCTCCAAGGTCCTTGACAGAGTTTGGATCATCAACAAAGTCTTGACTATTCAGCCTGTATTTTATTTTCTGATATATATTTTTTTGCCAATATGTAGGACAGAGCATTTATTTGTTGAGATTTGAAGTTGTCATTTGTTTGACCATTCTGATACATAGTCAAGGTCTTTTTGAAGGGTAGCAGTATTGTCTGTGGTGTTGAATAGCTTTACATCATCAGTGAAGAGAACGCAGTTGCTCTTGATATGATCACAGAAGTCATTTATGTAGAGTATGAAAAGAGTTGGTCCTAGAACACTGCCTTGGGGGACACCACTGTTGACAGGTACAGAATTTGATAGGACACTCCCAATTTTGACCATTTGTTGTCTGTTTGACAGGAATGCTTCTATCCAGTTATGCAGGTGTCCAGAGATACCATAAGATTTTAGTTTTAGGAGTAGTTTGTCATGTACCACTGAATAGAATTACAGAAGTCTATGTCGGTTGCATCTATTGCTTTGCCCTGATTGAGTTGTGTAGTCCATATGTTTTTGCAGTGTAAGAGTTGCAGATTACATGATAGTTTTTTCCTAAAACCAAATTGTTTATTTATTGTTTATTGTTTGTTTCTAAGTGGAGGAGGATGGATTGGTTAATAATTGATTCCATGACTTTACAGGTGATGCAGCATAAAGAGATTGGTCTGTAATTTTCCACTAGGCTGGGGTCTCCCTTTTTGAAGATGGCCATGGCTTGTGACCATAGTTTTGGCAAGGAGCTGGTGCTGAAAGATTTTTCAAAGATTATGCTTAGAGTTTCGGCTATGGCAGTGGGTAGCTTTTTTAAGAAGTAGGCACATATTCCATCTGGTCCAATAGATAGAGATGGTTTTAGATTGCGTAGTGCTTTTTCAACATTGTCTTCTGTAAAATCAATATGTATTAGATCATTGTAGTTGTCCATGGTTCGACTAGGAAATACTGGGCATGATCCATTGCTGTTTACAAATACTGAGCCAAAGAATGTGTTAAAGAGGTTGGCTTTAATAAGTTTCATGACTTTTTAGTAAGGGAGGGGTAGTGTTTATACCTTTATGATTTCTAAACATTTATTTGTGGGGGCAGGAGAACCAGCTTTGAACTGCCCTTCTCAGCTGTATGAGTTATATATCATATAATTCATATATATCATAAAAAAGACTCGATGGCACAGTGGTTAGAGTGCAGTACTGCAGGCTACTTCTGCTAACTACCAACTGTCTGGAATTTGGCAGTTCAAATCGCACCAGGCTCAAGGTGGATTCAGCCTTCCATCCTTCTGAGGTGGGTAAAATTAGGACGCAGATTGTTGGGGGGCAATAGGCTGACTCTGTAAACTGCTTAAAGAGAGCTGTAAAGCACTGTGAAGCAGTATATAAGTCTCAGTGCTATTGCTATAGTTAATTCTGCCCACTGCCAGCAGTTTGATCCTGACCAGCTCAAAGTTGAATCAGCCTTCCATCTTTCTGAGGCAGGTAAAATGAGGACCCAGATTGTTGGGGGCAATATGCCACTTAGAGAGGGCTGTAAAGCACTGTGAAGTGGTATATAAGTCTCAGTGCTATTGCTATATATTATCTGAATTATTCCATCTTTGGACGGTCTAAAGAAAATCAACAGGTTCTCTTCATCTACAATGGATGCGAAGGATCCTTAACTACAACATTCAACTGATCCATCCTATAGTGAAATATCCTTTTGCATATTTTTATAACCATTTCCCTCTTGTTTGATGCAAAAGAAATTACTTGACTTTATGGGTTATTTTCAGCAGAAGAAAGCATTGGTCAGGTTGTGATTGACGGATTGCATGATTGTTGCACCTACCTTAAGTAGCATAAGGTTTGTGGGAGTATTCTGTCTTTAACCTCACAACTCCCTCTCCAAGCTGTCAGCTACCAGCTTGGTTACTCACAGGTAAGAGGATGTGTGTTTTACTGGGTGTGTTCAATGGAGGTTTGATAGATTATATTTGAGATTATATTGATTTGGCTTCCTGTACCAAGTAGAGTTGTATTCAGTGGTCTTAAATGGTCCCTTCCAACTTTAAACATTTATGACTTCCCCCCCAAAAAATATCTTCTTTGAAATAATATGTGAAAGCAAATTCTCATAAATCAAATTAAAGCTGTCTGGTGGAGAAATTGTACTGGAATTCTGGTCAGCAATATATAGCCAAATAGATGTGAGCGCGAACATGTTTTTCTCTTAATTTAAATTGATATGGGAAGAAAAGAGGGTATCCTTGGAATTAAGATGCTTAAATTGAAACTGTTTCCTTGGCAACAGAGGCCTCTTTATTACCCTCCCATATTTTCATGCTTAAGAATGGCTATGCTCGCAAGCCATCCCTCTCAAATGGGGGTTGCTTTTGCTCCCCCCCCCCAAATCAAGACAAAACAAAGTCAAACAAATGGAAACTCATCTCATTTGACTTGAATTCTAGGCAGTCGTCCCCCCCCAGTATATTGTTCTCTGTCTTCCATGGGCAACAATCTGGTCCTATCAAAACTACATTTACTTGGAACTTCAACATTGTCAAGGGTAACACGAAGACTACTGAAATAATTTTCTCTTTTTAGGAACTAAAAACTGCACTCAACAGCTCTCATGGAAAAGTCAAGGACGTGGCTTGAGTAGATGCTTTTACTGCTGATGATAAACACTTCTAGTAACAAAGATCAGCTTCTACAGACTCTAGGAATGTAGCCATATGCATTACTACAGGTTCAGAAGTTTAAATACTGAAATTCACAACAACAAATGTTATTATTCTACCATATCAACAAACTGTAAAACAAACACAGAGAAAAGAATAAAACATATTCATAATAAATAATCACCCCGCATTCAGTCAACCCCAACCTAGGGTAGTCTATCCTTTTTGATATGGCCTTTCATACAAAAATGTAAGTATTGCAAAATTTGTCACCCTTCCAACATAACCTGCTTTTTATGCTGGACTGTGGATGCCATATGTCCTGGGTTTACATAATGACCTGTCAGGCACAAAGAATCAGGGTCATATGTTAACTTGCAGTTTGTTTTATCGCTCAAACATATCCATAATAATCTAGTCAACTAAAGTGCAAGATTAAATTAATCCCACATAAGGGTCAATGGAATTCAATAGGGGTTGGACTTAGACCATTTGTGGGAAAGTAATGACTCTAGCCTGATGACTTGCTTGACTCCCCCACCTCTGCCTGATCTTCTCTTGCACAATCCTTGCTTTCTCCCAGGATGCTTGTTTTCCTTATTGCTAGCTCCAGCCCTCATTGTCATAGAAATGCATACATTTGCATGTTCTCAAGCATTTAGCATGTAATATCTATATCCTTCCATCTACTACCTAAAAGTACATAGTTCAGTCATAACTTTAATTAGTATTTTGCTTGGAGTCAGAAGAGTTATAACTTTCCTGGTCCTGATAAAAATCTACCCAGGATTAATATTAATTTAAGACAGACATGAGTGTCGAATTGTAATTTGAACCTTTATAGGAAGGCAGGAATCTTGATTCTTGCACCAAGAATTTTATGGGTATTTTACTCAGTCTGTTTTGCTTTTTTTTTTTTTTTTTTGATGCATGAGTATATCAGCTGAGAAGTACAGAGTATTTGAATATTTGAAAAGCATCTGGACATCAGTGGATGCATAGTGCATTAGTTTCACTTTGGAAGCAAGACCAGGCAATGTAGAATTCCAAGATCCGGGGATAAATCTAGATGGGAATAATTTTAGCAGCATTTCTCTTTATGTATTATTCAAGTGCTACGTGAGGACTTTTACCCAGAGGCACATAATATAAACTGGTAGCCATGCATCTCATTGATGCTCTGGTTCTTATCTTTTCTATCTGTTCTTTCTTAAAAAAGAAAAAGAAAGAAACTCAATGCAACTCTAGAATACACAGAAGAGAGCCACAAAGATGCAGCTGCTCAAAATCTCAGAAGGTTCCAGATAAATGGCACACAATGTGATAAAACCAAAGATACACTGATGAGAGGACAAGAGAAAGCTGCAACAACTACTACAAAATAAAAGATAGCAACAGTGTGCATAAGCAAATCAGTGTATACATGTGCAGATTGGGCAGAAAGTTATCTGAGAAATTTGAACTTGGAGATGAAATTGATCTGAACTGTACTTCCTAGAGAAATGTGCAGATCCAAATTCATGTATTAACCTGCTCTGAATGTGTCCAAATATCTCAGGGAAGTTCTTAGCTCAAAAATAAAAATAAAAACCATTTTAAAATCTGTATTTTAGACATTCATATTTACTGTATCTGAGAGATAGATAGATAGATAGATAGATAGATAGATAGATAGATAGATAGATAGATAGATAGA